ATGGATGGATGGATGGATGGACGGATGGATGGATGGATGAAAGAACAGATAGATGGATGGATGGATGGATGGATGGATGGTTGGATGGACGGATGGATGGATGGATGAAAAAAGAAAGATGGATGGATGAAAGAACAGATAGATGGATGGATGGATGGATGGTTGGATGGATGGATGAAAGAACAGATGGATGGATGGATGAAAGAACAGATAGATGGATGGATGGATGGATGAACGGACGGACAGATGGATGGATGGACGTACGGACAGACGGATGGATGGATGGATGGTTAGTTGGATGGATGGCTGAATGAACGGATAGATGGATGGATGGATGGATGGATGGATGGATGGACGGATGGATGGATGAAAGAACAGATAGATGGATGGATGAAAGAACAGATGATAGATAGATAGATAGATAGATAGATAGATAGATAGATAGATAACTCATCATTAAGTCAACATAATATCAGTGCACAAAACTACCAGCTTACCCATCAAAACCCCACAGGTGGGCTGAGATGTTGTATGACTCAACTAAACTATTCCACACCAAACCTCCACAGACAGGTCCTGCATTCATGCGTTTGGTTATGTAACGTTGCTATCTACAGTGTTTGTGCTTCAAAAAAGATGTGAAGCGCAGAGCTCAACACATGCGGAAGCTGATGACCTTTAGTGGGACCTCAGAGGGTAATTTAGAGGCCTGGAGGTCAGAGCCGTTTCCAGGCGTGGAATGGACCAAGAGAGCCCACCATCAGCAGAAGAGAGCAATGTTAATGAGAAAAATGCAAATGGAAAGCTGGGAATAGTCCACTTGGCTTCCTTACTGAGGGATCAAGGGGAGTGTAGGGGGAAACTCTGTCTTGAGGATACGATGAAGAGAGGATGGGGTGAGGAAGATGGGAGGGCTTGACAGAGATGAAGGGAAGCTCATAAGCGGGAGTGATGAAACTCTGTGGGAGGTCTGGATCCACAGCAGATGGTCTAGTCTGTTTCCTCCCACTAGACCCTTTCATCTATATACCTTTATATATATATAATTTTAACTACATGAAATCTTTTAACTATTTTTCACTGATGTTAAAACTGATTATATTTTCTGAAATTAACAGATGAGCAACTTATTTTATTCAATTGCATTAGAAATTACAATTCTCAAACAATTACCAGTTTGATATTGGTACATAATAACCCGACTCTGAGAAATTTTGGAGAAATTAAATTGTTCTCTAAAATGCTTGGTAATGGCAGCATTTGGCACAGTGAATCACTGTTATAAAAATGTTACAAAAAGTTTAAACTATTATAATATAAGTAACATAAGTTCTTAGGAAAGGTGCAAAAATATTTTTTTACATGTTTTTTAACTACATGTTTTGGGGTCAGTAAGATATTTATTTTTTAAGGAAATGCATAATTTTATTCAGCAAGAAAGCATTAAATTAATTAAAAATGAGAGTAAATATTTGAGTAAAGAATTTATAATGTTAGAAATGATTTCTATTTCAAATAACTACTTTTCTTTAAACTCTTTATTCATCAAAGAATCTTGAATTTAAAAAATATTACAAGTTACACACAACCAATTTCAACCAATAATAATAATAATAATAACAATAAATGTTTCTTGAGTACCAAATCAGCATGAATGATTTCTGAAGGATAATGTGACAATGAAAACTGTAGCAATGGTCACAAAATAAAATATATTAAAATAAAAAAAACAGTTCTAAATTTTAATAATATTTCACAGTATTACTGCTTTTGATTGTATTCTTGACTATCACAAGAGAAATATCTTACTGAGCCCGAACTTTTGAATAGAAGAGTATATAAAAGTCTTAAATATATCTATTATCTTCATATTAAAGATAATAAAGCTTTCACAATAACAAAATTAATAATATCACAATATAAATGTATTAACCCACTGCACACTTTGTGATTTTACCATTACTTTTTGCAATTGTTACTTGTCATATTGTATGATATAACCCCAGTGAAATCTCTTTTGGATAAATGTGACTGGAGACTGTGTGAAATCAGCTGTCAGTCTGTGTGATATAGATCTCAGGACTTTAGTCACGATTGACAGCATTGAATGTCCGATCAATCATCTCACATTTTGACATCCTCATTGACAAACAAAACTGAAATTATATCACACAAACACAAGCAATCCCTTGAGCAAATGTCAGTAATGCTTTACCCTGAGATTAAAGGAAGTGTTCGACAGCTTAAATCGTTCAGTGTGCAACAGGCTTCCGTGTAAAACGCATATAATCACCAGTATAGGATCGGTTCTTTTAGTACTCACAGTCTCTGGAGTCCTGTGTACAATTCCATGTCGACATCCTTAAGAATCTGCAATCCTGTCCAGTTCTCTATGTGTCTACAAAAGAAAGAGAGAAAATATTGAAAACAGCACCATTACCAACAATTTATTCAAGCAGGGGATATGTGTTTTTCCGCTTGATGGCCAGGGCAGGAACCCAATGGAAGGTCCCTGGAGTTTTGAAAAATGTATCATAGTTCAGCGAGTGCTTGTGAAACATTCATCTCAGAGGCATTGGTGTGTTGCTTAGGCAGATGGCCTAAGGGTGCGATTACATACAAACCACACCATGAAATAATTAGCAAAACAATTTGGTTCTCCCTAGACTATAAAGTCAAATGCATAGAACATGTGGGGAGCACAAAGATAATTATCATATATACTGTGTAGAACAACCAGAGACAAAAGTCAACTTGTATATGGGAGAGCAGGGATCACTGTAGCACTCAGTGAATGTACGGTCCGTAATATAACACACAGTGCACTCATTATAGCCATATCATGTGCAAGCTTAATTTAAAACTCTATCTCATCCCAAAATTATTTTGAGTGGGGGATCATTAAAATTTTAATTTAAAAAAAAAACTTTTGTTCAGTCAATTGATCAAGTGATCAAATATGACACAAAAAATTCTTATATTGTTACAAAAAAAAAATCGATTTCAAATAAATGCTGTTCTTTTGGATTTATTCATCAAATCCTGAAAAAATGTTTTGTATTTATTATTATTAAGCAGCACAACCATTTTCAACATTGATAAAAAAAAAATGTTTCTCGAGCAGCAAGTCAGTATATTATACTGATTTCTGAAGGATCATGTGACACTGAAGACTGGAGTAATGATGCTGAAAATTCAGCTTTGCATCACAGCAATAAATTTCATTTTAAAATATATTCAAATAGAAAATTGTTATTTTTAATTGTAATAATATTTCCCAATATTACTGTTTTTACTGTATTTTTTTATCAAATAAATGCAGCCTTGGTAAGCATAAGAGGCTTCTTTCAAAAACATTTTACTGACCCCAAGCTTTCGAACAGTAGTGTATATTATAAATATAGTCATTCACATTATAGAGATATTTCAATTTTCATTACAATTACACAGCATTTGTTTATAAATATAACTTGGTCCTTTGTGTATTTTTAGTTCAATGGTGTATGATTTAATTGAGTAACGACAGATCAACTTTTTAAAAAATAGTTGGAAGCAAATTTTCAATGCTTTAGGCTATACATTTTCTGAAGAAATCCAAAAATCCAAGAGAAAAGAAAAAGTTCCTCCTTCAGTGACAGTCTGTAGGATTTTTTCCCTCCCATTTATTGTCCACCAGGAAAAATTGCAGTCCGATTTCTTGGAAAAGTAATAAAACACCTCTCCTGAACAAGCCACATGATTTGACGTATCATTCATTTCCGTAGCACAAACGGTGCAGGATGAATTATGTGCAAAAGTTTAATACTTATGGTAGAGGTTTGTTCAAACAACTTACCCTAAGTATTAGCAATAATAAATGTGCTTACATGCACAAAATATGCTGATAAACATAAATGAGCACATTATAAAATCCCAGCCATGCCAGAAAAACATGTTTACATGAGATTTTAAAAAGTTTTTCTTTGTCAGCCGTAATGTCAAAACATCAATAGATATGAACACTTGTAAAATACACAGAATTTTAAAAATGGCATTTAAATGCAAAACAAAATTGTGGTAAAAAAAAAAAAGTCGAGGGGTGTCAATTGGGTTCAATCACACTGATGCTAAATCCTTTCTGAATAAATAAAAATATCCAAGTGAAAATAATTTAAATTATTAAATTAATAATAATTAATTTAGCTCTCCCCTACCGTGTCACTGAAACACCATTATCAGTGTCAGAATCTGCTTGAAAACACGCTTGCATTTAAATTCAGCTATTGCCAGGGCATGCGGCTGCACTGCCTTTATTTCCTATTCCACAGGCTTCTTATCTGCCAGCTAAAACAAACACAATCTGGACAGAAGTGTTCCAAGCAGGAGAAATCACAGATGTGCCGCTGACAGAACACAACCACACACAGAAGCAAACATGCTTCCAGATCCACACACACCCTGACAATGCCACCAGCCCCTAGAGGACAACAGTGTCCCCAACTACATTTTACTGCTAAAGAAACTGATACCTTTTAGTTTAGTGACTTACATAGTGAATCAGTAAGACTGAGAATAATGTTTTGTTCAATAATCAGATATCGCTTGCAGGATGCACAAAAATCTATAACTGAGTCTCGAATGTCGTTGTTGTGATCCAGATGCATTGGAGCAACCCTGTTTATATAGCTGCACATCCTAAACCATGTGAATCATTCAAATATCAGTCAAAGGCTCTGAGCACATTTCATTTCAGCATCTGATGAAAAGCCTTTCTCAGGCTGTGTGCAAGTTCATTGCTGTTTTCTCCATAATCTTCTCTCTAGTCTCTCCATTGTTCCCAAAAACCCATGCTTTGGCATGATTAATGACTTTGTTTAAATTATCTACAGCACAACTACATAGAGCTTAATGGAAGAACATTTAATAAAACAGATTGTCTCAGGTGTGCTCTTCAGGCATTGATCGACCTTTTCATCTCAGAGTCAGGCTTTGAGTAAAGAACCATAAAAAGCCGGAAACCAAGTCTTTCCATTATCTTGCACTTCCATTCCAAGAATAAAGAACGCTGGCGAGCACAATTATGAATTCAACCAATGAAATGATTTCAAATACTATAATAGCAAGCAACCATATCTGTAAGAAGGTAATACATTTCAACATGAAAGCTAGAGTTGGTAAACATTTACTCTTCACCGGCGTTCCTTCTACACCCACATAACATCTGAATAAATGTAATTACTCGGAGACAGGTGTACAACATGCCTAATTTATAATGGATCTAGTCGGTGAAATTACAACTGGCCTCCATCTGTTGCTGATTTCAGGTTTCAATCCAGGATTTACATTTCCTGTGTATAAATACAACATGCCTCACCTTTACCGCTACCAAGCTATTAATCATTCGTTGGTGCCTGGAAGCAGATTTGCATTTTAAACGCTGGAAATATATGTGGCCTTAAGTGAGACAGCACTTCTGAGGTTTGTTAGCATTTATTACATGGCAGTTAGAGTATGCAGGATATTTTTTCTAAATGAAGAACAGCTGTAATTACAAGAAGCTGCACTTACATTTTCTGAAGAAAATGTGAGTGGTGTTTGTTTTGTAGAGGATTGCCAGGCCACGCTATGTGCTTCCTAAGGCTCCCAGGCTGGTTGTCAGCATGTTGCCAGAGTGTTTTGGATACTTACTAGGTGTTTGCTACTGTATGGCGTTCAGGATGGTCAACAAAGCAAAGTTTCCTCCTCAGTTTAATTCTGTAGGGGAATTCCCCCCAAATGTATTGTTGTCAGGGGAAAAAAAAGAACGTCTCGGTTACGTATGGTAACCCTAGTTCCCTGAAGGAGGGAACGGAGACATCACGTCGGATGACCGACGAATTGGGATCTCGCTTAGAGAGACCAATCTACTTTGAGTGTAAACTAAACGAGCCAATGCACATTGGCATGCGATTATTGCATCCAGCTGCCGCTGATCACAGCGTGAGTATAAGTAGGCAGCAGATGCAGCGCATATTCAGGTTTTCGCTGAGGAGCCGAGCCGTTGACCTGGCCGCTCAGTTGTGGTGCGGAAGGGTCGACACATGAAGTACTCGTCCTTCAGGTCAATCGCTGCAAACCAAATCTCGGGGACGGATGCACCCGAAGTACAAGCGAACTACAGGCGTACCCGCAGTGGGGCAGCGAGGAAGACCGCAGGGACCCGGCCCGGGCGTCTCGTAGCCGGTCCAAGGCGGGGTCTGAGTGTGTGTAACACTGACCTGCGTTCGAGCAGAGGGTGCGTGGGTAGTCC